TCTTTGCAGAAATGTCTCTTCATGTCTTCTGCCCATTTCTTGATTGGATTATTTGTTCTTTGGGTGTTGATTTGATAAGCTCTTTATAGATTTTGAATACTAGCCCTTTATCTGATATATCGTTTGCAAATATCTTCTCCCATTCTGTCAGTTGTCTTTTGGTTTTGTTAACTGTTTCCTTTGCTGTGCAAAAGCTTTTGATCTTGATGAAGTCCCAAAAGTTCATTTTTGCCCTCACTTCCCTTGCCAAAAACCCAGGATTCTAACTGCTCTTTTCTCACCCCTTGCTCCCAGCTTTTTGTCCTGGGCGGATTTTTCTCCCACTGCCTTGGATTGTTCTGGTCAGTAGGTTTTTGTTCTCTGTTTGAGGTAGGGTAACTGAAGGGACTCCATTTTAGAAAGGTCCTGTCTCTGTGGTTTCTGTTTAGGCCACAAGTACTTATGTTCTTTTTTCTGCATCCAGTTAAACCAAACAAGCTATGTTCCCACTTCAAAGGGGAAACAAGAGAGTTAATCATTCTCTGAGGTTTTTAAAAAAGAATTTATTTATTTGTTTGACACAAAGAGACACAAAGAGAGAGGGAGCACAAGCAGGGGAAGCGGGAGAGGGAGAAGCAGACTTCCTGCCGAGCAGGGAGCCCGATGTCTGGACTGATCCCAGGACCCTGGAATCATGACCTGAGCTGAAGGCAGAAACTTAACAACTGAGCCACCCAGGCACCCTATTCTCTGAATTTTTGTCCTAGGCCCCCAAACACCTGATAACATCTAAGAAGAGCTAGATCCCAAACATGTTCCCAGGACGTTAACTTTGAACAAGACTTGGCAGACGCTGGCATCAGTAACCCGTACCTTCAATGATTTATAGAATAACACCTATTACTGACCTGCCACTCACCTTTGATCGGACCCTATTCTGGATTCCTGAAGGAATAGTTGCCCTAGATCCCTTTCCAATATGAACCCCTAGACCCAAGCCAGGAAGAGACTCCTTTCTGAGTCTCCCAGTCTGTCTGCTAAATTCTGTTTCTCTCACTATTTAATAAACTGTTTTTACTTTCTCTGGCCTGTGTTTGATTTCTGTCCCATGCAAAGTTGGTCCTGCAGGGACCCCGAACCCCCTCTGGGTTCTTGGACCCAACCTGCCTGCATCATCTTCACCAGACTGTGAGCAACCTAAGATAAAGGGCCACTTCTGATTCAGCTCTGTCCTCAGCCCCTCCTGGCAGCCTGGACACAAGTAGGGCCTTAGGGAATGTTTTAGAGATAAGGCCTCCTTTCATAAAATATAAGCGCTTCTGTCTGTTGGAGGCTCCTTGACAGTGCGTCCTGGTCTCTGTCCTTAACACCTATAGGACCTGAAAAACAGCAGGGGACCAGTAAAATTCAGCTTTAACATTCATTTAACAAAAAATGTTTGAGCACCGAGAGTATGCCATTGTGGAGTGGGTGGAGTCTCTTTGCAGGCTTGTTCAGTGAGTGTCCCACTAGCTGAACTTTGGAGGGATTCTGCTTACAATAGTGCCACAGGTTAGAGCTTCAGTATTCCAGTCTTTAAGTAAAAACCGGTGATCCCAGCCTGAATATCCATCGATGGGAAGATGTGTAAGTGAGGTGATGTGCAGGAAAGTGATTTGCAAATACCAAAGCACCAGCAGATATAAGTGGTGATAGTGTTATAGTTATTATGATAGTGAATGGAGGTTGTTTGTGCTAAAGGTTTTGAAGTCAGAAACATCCTGCATTAGGTGCTCCTAGTCCCTCCAGTTACTTGTTCTGTGGCCATGGACAAGCTGGCTAACTCGAACACATATCTCTGAGGTCAGTTTCCACGTGCTGCTCTAAACTGGGCATTGGACATATGATCTGTAATGATCATCTCACGATCCTTATAGTCCCATAATAATTACGTGATATGGTTTGCCCAAGATTTTATATCTTGCTCGTCTCCTGCCTAGTGCAGCCACAGCTCGTGGTCCCAAGGCTATCTGAAGCAGGTAGTATTGGATGCTGGATAAACTGACCAGTGTGTTTGCTCCTCACCCGTCTACTGGTCCCATAAGCTGAGAGAATATCCGCCTCTTAATCATTTTCCTAAGGAACAGACTTAAGTATGCCCTAATAGGAGATGAAATAAAGATCTGTATGCAGCATTTTATTAAGAATGATGGCAATATCCAAGCTGATATAATGTATCCTACTGGTTTTATGGGTCTCATCAGCAGTGGCAAGACTGGGGGAGAATTTCCATCTGATGTATGACACCAAGGGTCGCTTTGCTGTTCATTGGATTACACCTGAGAAGGTCAAGTGTAAGTTGTGCAAAGTGAGGAAGATCTTTGTGGGGACAAAAGGAATCCCTCATCTGGTGACTCATGATGCTTGCTCCATCCGCTGTCCTGAGCCCTTCATCAGGGTGAATGACACCATTCAGATTGATTTGGGAGACTGGAGAGATTACTGATTTCAGCAAGTGCGACACTGGCTATCTGTGTAGGGTGACCAGAGTGCAAACCTGGGAAGAACTGGTGTGATCACCAACAGAGAGAGACACCCTGGTCTTCTGATACTGTTCACGTGAAAGATGCCAATGGCAACTGATTTGCCACTCAACTCTCTTAACATTTTTGTTATTGGCAAAGGGAACAAACACAGATTTCTCTTCCCCAGGGAAAGGGTATCCACCTCACCATTGCTGAAGAAAGAGACGAGACTGGCGACCAAACAGAGCAGTGGGTAAAATGGTCCCTAGGTGACTTGACTGGAAGACTATAGTTAATTAAAGATCATACAGCACACACACACACAAAATGATTTGTATCTTGTATCCTGAGTGTCCCCTTTCACTCTCCAAACATTCCTGGTTTGATGAATTAGAATTTATTAAAGGGATATAGATAACAAAGGATTCACATTCAAACTGTATTGAGAATGTCTATAGATCAATAAGGAAAAGACAAATAACTCAATTTAAAAACCGGCAAGATGGGACACCTGGGTGGCTCAGCCAGTTAAGTGTCTGCATTCGGCTGGAATCGAGTCCCACATTGCGCTCCTTGCTCAGCGAGGAACCAGCTTCTCTCTTGGATCCCCCTGGCTGTGATCTGACAAGTAAATAAATAAAATCTTTAAAAAAATAAAAATAAAAATGGGGCTCCTGGGTGGCTCAGTGGGTTAAGCCTCTGCCTTCGACTCAGGTCATGATCTCAGGGTCCTGGGATGGAGCCCCGCATCCGGCTCCCTGCTCAGCCGGGAGCCTGCTTCCTCCTCTCTCTCTCTCTGTCTGCCTCTCTGCCTACTTGTGATCTCTGTCTGTCAAATAAATAAATAAAATCTTTTTAAAAAATAAAAAATAAAAATGGGCAAGACTTGAGCCAGCACTTCAGAAGAGGGAATATCCACATGGCCAATAAATATACAAAAGGGTGCTAAAGTTCACTATTCAACAGGAAATGCCAATTAAAACCACGCTGAGATAGCATTCACTATACACCCACTAGAATAGCTAAAAATGAAAATGTTGACAATACCAAGTGTTTGGGGAAAAGTGGAAAGAAGATGAAAACGTTCAGAGTCATCGAGAAGAGCCAGGTTCTGGAGAACTCCTGTTTATTTCTCTCTTTGACTTTGGTATGAGCAGCAAGAAGAAACTAGGGACAGTGGGAAGCTCTTCATGGGTCCTTGACATGTCCTATATCTTGATCTGGATGGAGGTTACCTGATTGTGTGACCATGCGAAAGATACAGTGAGGACGCACGCGTCTCAATCTAGTTCTGTTCACATCGCGCGCGGAGGAGCGTCCAGGTCTGGAAACAGAGACCGGCGCGCGTGCGTGTACGTGAGCGCGCAAAAGCCGGTTGCTGGGACGCGCGCGCGCGCAGGAGCCGGAAGCAGAACTGGGAGCCCGGAAGCGGGGCCGGCATCCCGGCCGCGGCGGGCCATGGAGGGTCGCGCCCCGGGTCGTGGGCCGCCGCGCGAGGGGTCGGCGGAGGACGAGGCCGAACTCCCCGGAGCAGCGTGGAGCGGGGACAGCGGCAATGTGTCCCAGAGCCACAGCAGCGCCTCGGGGCCGTGGGAGGACGAGGCGTCGGAGCTGGGCGCGCCGGGCCGCGATCTGCCGCTGCTGCGCCGCGCCGCCGCGGGCTACGCCGCCTGCCTGCTGCCGGGAGCCGGGGAGCGGCCCGAGGTCGAGGCCCTGGACTCCAGCCTGGAGGACCTGCTCACCAGAGTGGACGAGTTCGTGGGCATGCTGGACATGCTGCGCGGGGACTCCTCCCACGTCGTCAGTGAGGGTGTGCCTCGCATTTACGCGAAGGCCGCGGAGATGCGGCGGGTCTACAGCAGGATCGACCGGCTGGAGGCCTTCGTGGGGATGATCGGCGCCCGCGTGGCCAGGATGGAGGAGCAGGTGGCCAGGGCGGAGGCCGAGCTGGGTGCTTTCCCCAGCGCCTTCAGGAAGCTGCTGCACACGATCAGCGTGCCCTCCTTGTTCAGCAAGGCGCCCTCCGGCAGGCCCCAGCAGAGCGGCTACGAGCCGCCCGTCCTGTTTCGGACCGAAGACCACTTTCCCTGTTGCAGCGAGACACCTCAGATCTGAGTCCGCCGGCCGGCCAGCGAGGGGACGCCGGCTGCGAGGGCCTGGGCTGCTGAGTCTGCCGGCGAGGCTGCTGGTAGACCTCCATGAGGTTGGAGGACGGCGTGTTTGTCTTTTTGGCACACTTGTTTCCCACTGTCTGCATGACCTCCCGTAAGGACGTGTGGCTTTCTGTCTCCAGTGCTGAACTGAGGGCTGGCTGCTTGGGGCGTCGGGGAACCTGAATGCGTTTCTCTGTGCGCTGTGGCAGATTTGTTGTTTTTATGGGTTTTACAGCTCACCCAACAGTATTACCTTTTCAGAGTTTCTATATTTTATATGAAGAAAAACTGCCCAACTTTCCCAGTCTTATTATTCGATCCTAATAGCGATTCCATTTTCTGTAGCTTTTAGGGTAGATGGTAAGTTATTTCACGTTATATTATACTTTGCACATCATGGGTTGTAGAACGAAGGAAATCATACAATTTCTGAGGAGATGGATTGATTTATTGCAATTAATTCCGAAGCTGTATTTCCCAGTAGGCCCTCCGAATCTTAATTTGCCCACAGCAAACATGTCTGTAAGTGGTTGCTAACATTTAGTTTATAATTTAAATATTAATAAAAATTTTAAATTTTATTGGAAAAGCTTTTCTTCTGGAAAGGACTTTGCATATTTCTTTTTTTGTTTGAAAATAGATACATTGCTCATGATTGTAGGGATAAGAAGTGTCTTGGGAGTAACTCCTTTCGGATGTGAAAAAGCTTAGCTACTATTCCACAGAATTTTGTTCCTCACCTCTCAAAGTCAATAGTTAAGTCATGTGTGTGAATGACTGGTGTTGGGATTTTTGTTCTTTTCACCCAACAGCATGGAATCCTAAAGATGTCTTGCAGGTGCAGCAGGCTTTGATCTTGATTTGAATCTTAATCTATTGTTATTAATTGATGTTCCTAGGCAATAGACCTCAAATAAGCACCCAGCTTAGGTTTCTTTTGTGCCATTTATCGTGGATCTTAGAGGCTAACGGAGTATTCATGTTCTCTCATAGCTGTGTATCATAAGTCTGATCATGTAGGGGCGCCTGGGTGGCTGAGTAGGTTAAGTGTCTGCCTTCTGCTCAGGTCAGGATCCCAGAGTCCAAGGATGGAGTCCTGCATCGGGTTCCTTGTTCAGCGGGGGGCCTGCTTCTCCCTGGAACTGCTGCTCCCCCGGCTTGTGCACCCACTCGCCTGCTCACAAGCTCGCTCTCTCTTTCTCTGACCAAAAAAAAAAAAAAAAAATCTGATGATGTAATCTGCACTTTCCTCTTTCATGGACCTGCAGTGTTGCACATTTATACTTTTTATTCAGGAGGTTCATAGACGATAAATTAAGGAACTCCTGAATTTAGAAGCTGAAAGCACAAGTAAGCTACATTTAATACTGTTGGGCAATCACTGGGTAGTATCATAAGTAATTAGCATATCCCTATGATACAGTCACTGAATATGAAAATAGCTTTAGTACTTAACATCCATATTGCAAAAATGCTTTATATTAAAAAGTAGGTAGTAATTAGGGCAAATTACGAAAAAAATTGGGATAACTAAGTTTTTTTAAGATTCTATTTATTTGAAATAGAGAGCATGCACACAAGCAGTGGGGAGGAGCAGGGGAGAGGGAGAAGCAGACTTCCCACTGAGCAGGAAGCCTGATTCCGGCTCTCAGGGAGCCTGAGATCCTGACCTGAGCCCAAGGCAAATGCCCAACCAACTAAGCCACCCAGGTGCCCCATTTTCTGGCAATATTAAAAGAAAAAACAACAACCCCCTGGAGCACCTGGGTGGGTCCATTGAACGTCTGCCTTTGGCTCCAGTCATGATCCTGAGATCCTGGGATTGAGCCCCACGTTGGGCTCCTTCCTCAGCAGGGTGTCTGCTTCTCCCTCTCCCTCTGCCAGTGATCTCTTGCGTGCCCGTGCACACGCTCTCTCTCTCTCTCTCGGTCAAATAAATAAATAAAATCTTATATAAAACTAAGAGAAAGGTAAATAAGAGCTGGCAGTGCTGAACTGGCTCAGTGGGGAGAGCGTGCAATTTTTGATCTCAGGGTTGTAAGTTTGACCCCCCCCATGCTGGGTGTAAAGAGGACTAAAAAATAAACTTTAAATATTTTATTTTATTTGAGATTTGTTTTTAAGATTTTATTTAATTATTGTCAAAGAGAGCTCACACAAGCAGGGGGGCAGGCAGAGGGAGAAGCAGGCTCCCCGCTGATCAAGGGGCCTGATGTGGGACTCTATCCCATGACCCCAGATCATGACCTGAGCCGAAGGCAGATGCCCAATGACTGGGCCACTCTGGTGTCCTGAGATTTTATTTCTAAGTAATCTACACCCAACATGGGGCTTGAACCCACAACCCCAAGATCAAGAGTTGCATGCTCTACCAACTGGGCCCGTCCGGAGCCCCAAATATAAATAAACTTAAAAAAAAATAAAAATGATGGGACACCTGGGTGGCTCAGTCAGTTGAGCATCTGCCTTCAGCTCAGGTCACAATCCCAGGGTCCTAGAATCATGTCCCCTTTGGGCTCCCTGCTCAGCGGGAAGCCTGCTTCTTCTTCTGCCTGCTGTTCCCCCTGCTTGTGCTCCTATTTGCTCTCTCTGGCAAATAAATAAATAAAATCTTCCTGGTTTGATGACTACTTACCTGCTTACCGGTGCAGCTTATCTCTAGGCAGCCTTGGGTTCTGAAATTCTCCTGGTCACTTGTGTTGTCCTTGAGGGTTCTAAACAGAGATTAGGGCAGGGCCTTGTGTGGAATGGGGACTGGAAGTTGGTCTGCACAGTGCAAGACAGATTCTAGATAAAGCCCCTTGGTCTCGAGAACCGGGGCTGGGGTAGCCAGGCACACCTCTGATCTGGCACTGCCACCCGTACACCTTCTGGCTCCCTCCTCCCCCACCCCTGACCAGCTGGATATTTCAGGAAGCTCCTTCCCCCTCTCATAAGCCAATAAAATTGGGGGGGGGGGTGCGGTGCTAGTAGTCATCCTGGGTGACCCCTGCAGACCCATCTGTGCCACTGGAGTCTAGAGCTCCCCCCACTTTCTAGAAGAATAATCAGGGATGGGGTTCAATAAAGCTTGAGAGGGGCACCTCACCAGTCACACCGGAGTCCTTCTGTTCTTCACTCCCACACCTGCTTATAGAGCACAGGCTGCCTAGTGTCCAGGAGTCCACAGGACATCGCTTAGTCCAAAGGCAGCCTCGGGCGTCCAGGAGCCAGTTTATGAACATGTGTAAAATTGGGTACTAACGAGCTAGTCAGCACTTTGTGGCTTTTCCTCCCAGCCATACTTTCAGGAATATGAGTCTTGGACCATGTGTGAGTGGGTGGGCCTATTGTAGATAGAAAAGTACAGGTCCTGGGGTGCCTGGGGGGCTCAGTCGGTGAAGCTGCTGCTTTGGCTCAGGTCATGGTCCCTGGGTCCTGGGATCGAGATCTGCATCGGGCTCCTTGCTGAGTGGGGAGCCTGCTTCTTCCTTGCCTGCCACCCCCCTGCTTGTGCTTGTTCTCTCTCTCTGTCAAATAATAAAGAGTCCCACATCAGGCTCCATGCCTGGGCTCACTCACTGAAATAAAATCTTTAAAAAAAGGGGGTTGGCGCCTGGATGGCTCAGTGGGTTAAGCCTCTGCCTTCGGCCCAGGTCATGATCTCAGGGTCTTGGGATCGAGCTCAGAGTTGGGCTCTCTGCTCAGCAGGGAACCTGCTTCCTCTTCTTTCTCCTCCTGCCTCTCTACCTACTCTGATTTCTCTGTCAAATAAATAAATAAAATAAAAAAAAAAAAAGTGCAGGTCGTGGAGTCAGCCCAGTGTGAACCTGCTAAGTATATGATCTAGGACAGGCTAGCCACGTCCCTAAAGGGGTGGAGGGAAAGAACTACAAGGCCACAGGTCTCAAAACTACTCCCTTGGCGCTGGTGCAGAAGCAGCCACAGACCACACATAGACAAATGTGCAGGCTGCATGCAAATAAAACCCAGGTACTTCTTGAAACAAAAGACCTAAGGGGAGCAGACCAACGATGGTCTGCGATTTAAGATTTTTAAAGTAGCTTGGGACACCTGGTGGCTCAGTCGTTTAGGCATCTGCCTTCAGCTCAGGTCATGATCCCAGGGTTCTGAGATTGAGACCCGTGTCGGGCTCCCTGATTAGCGGGAGCCTACTTCTCCCTCTCCCTCTGCCTGCCACTTCCCCAGCTTGTGCTCTCTCTCTCTCTGACAAATAAAATCTATTAAAAACAAAAACAAAAACAGGGCACCTAAGTGGCTCAGTCGATAAGTGTCTGCCTTCAGCTCAGGTCATGATCCCAGGTTCCTGGGATCGAGCCCCTGGGATCCGGCTCCCTGCTGAGCCGGAAACCTGCTTCTCCCTCTCCCACTCATCTGCTTGGGTTCCCTCTCTTGCTGTGTCTCTCTCTGTAGAATAAATAAATAAAATATTAAAAAAAAAACTTAAAAACAATAACTAAAAAATTTTAAACTAGCTTGGCTTCCTCAGAAGGGGCAGCACTGGAAAGCATTAGTTCTAAGGATACCCCCCTCACCACCACACTGGTGAATGTGAATCAGGAGAAAGCCGGGTTTAGGACCGCAAACGGGGCTCAGGTTGCCAGTTACCTTCGGACCAAAGACAGTCACAAACAGCTGGAGACCAGCTCAGGTCTTACCTTCTTTGAGACCCACCTTTACCAGAAACAAAGCTTCCTGGCCTCTCTCAGCAGTATCTTCTAAGGACTTCGGCTTAAAATGAACTGCTGTTAATAGTGTGTGCTGTAACAGGGCCCCTGGGGGGCTCAGTTGGTTAAGCGTCTGCCTTCAGCTTGGGTCATGATCTCTGGGTCCTGGGATGGAGTGCTGCATCGGGCTCTCTGCTCAGAGGGGAGCCTGCCTCTCCCTCTCTCTGCCTGCCTCTCTGCTCAGCTGGAAGTCTGCTTCTCCCTCTGCCCCTCCCCCTGCTCATGCTCGCCCATGCTCCCTCTCCCTCAAATAAAATCTTTAATATATATATATTAAATATATATATTAAACATATGTGTTTAATTAAATATATATATTTAATATATGTGTATAATTAAATATATATATTACACATATGTGTGTGTGTGTGTATATATATATATATATATATATATATATATGGAAAGCTAACATCCCAATTCATCAGTACGACTATAGGCACCACCCACAACACATCCCAAATGCACCCCACTGTCCATCCCACAGCTACCCCATCTCACCTCCGCCACCCAGCAGTCTCTTAAGTGGTTTCCTGCCTCCCCCATCCTCTCTCCAAGCCACTCTCCAGTACACGGCAGCCAGAGGTGTCTTTAAAAACCATAGGCCAGGGGCGCCTGGGTGGCTCAGTGGGTTAAAAGCCTCTGCCTTAGGCTGAGGTCATGATCCCAGGGTTCTGGGATCGAGTCCTGCATCGGGCTCTCTGCTCAGAGGGGAGCCTGCCTCTCCCTCTCTCTGCCTGCCTCTCTGC